TTTGGGATTAGGGGTTTAGGGTTAGGGTTTAGGGATTTAGGGGTTAGGGTTTAGGGTTTAGGGTTTAGGGAAGTGCTGGTGCCGTTTAAATGGGATATAGGGGTCGTATAAGGGCTCTATAGGGTTATATAGGGTTATGTAGGGTTCTATAGGGTTATATACCTAAGGTTATATAGGGTTGGGGCTTTTGGGGTTTAAGGCTTTAGGGTTTAAGGTTTTCAGGGTTTAAGGCTTAGGGGTGTATAGTTGTTCTTAGGGGTGGAGGGCTTTGCGGATTGAAGGGTTTAAGGTGTGGGGGCTCTTGGTTCAAGGATTTAGGGTTTAGGGTTTCGGGGTTGAGGGTTTTATTTAGGGGGTTAAGGATTGAGGATGTGGTAATTTCCCTAAATGACCCCAATATGGGCAACGAAATATGATCATCCTTAATATGGGGACCCCCAAGAAGGTACCCCTAACTTTGGAGACTCCCATGTAAGGTTTCGGGTATACTGTTGCTGGAGGAAAGCTTGCACCACTTAAGGTTGCTTGACTTCCTAGGGCTTAAGGACTTAAGGGATTTCAGGTGATGCACGGCTTCCTCCATTAGCAGGTCTGGGCGGCCCAGTAGCAATATGTGGGGGCTTGGGCGGCTTTAGGGGAATATCATCCCAACGAAGGAAAATGGAATGGAAAATGCAAGGGAAACTGGAATTGCATAGGGGAATTCTACAAGAGCTATAGTCTAAACTCCTAGTATCCCCCTTAATAAGCCCTATAGTAGTCCCCTATATAACCCCCTATATAACCCCCCCTTCAAGGAGTTTAGACTATGGCTCACAAGAAGCAGTGCAAGCCGAAGCCCTGGAAGTAGGACTCCATTTTTAACCTATGGTAGGCAGATCATTCGGCAGGCCGTCGTTACTAAAGCCCTTTACTTACCAGCAATGTTTGCGTCTATGAAGCTTCCTGTTAAGAATCCCATGAGTTTGACGTTGGGGGTGTTAGCGCTAGGGTTTTGGGCTTAGAGTCTAGGGTGAGGGATGCCATGGACTTTGTAACCTCTTTTTGAATCCTCAGGACCTTGAACTATGCTCTGCATCAGGACACAGAATGACTCTGTACACCCAAAATGCTCAACAATTACCACTAAATTCCGACCCTATAAACCCAGGCCCTAAAAACCTAAACTCCCAACTGTACCGACATTATTGACTTAATAGGTAGTCAATAATTGGGATGACAAGGTTGCTATGCGTACACATATATCATATATATATATTATAGAGTTGATTACTATACCTACCACGTCCCCTGGCCCTGACCCTAACCCCGTAAACCTTAAACCCTAACACTCCTTACCCTAAACCCTAAACCCTAAACCCTTAAACCCTTAAACCCTAAACCCTAACAAGGACCCCCAAACCCCGCCAGCACTTCACAAGAGGGCTTGAGTAAATCCAAGGTCTTGCCTTGGCTGCTGCTTCATCACCCCTAGGAGTAGCGCTTTTTTGTGGTGGTTGAACCCAGTAAGATTATATAGGGGTTTCCCAAAATTAGGGGTACCCTTTTTTGGGTCCCTATAGTAGGGATTATATTATGTTGGGGTCTATTTCGGGGTCCCCCTATTTTGGGAAACTACCATATTCCTTGTATAAAATACTAGACCCCAAAGGAGGATATACTCTTACTCTATATTGGGTACCATAGTATCCCCAAATAAAATACTACTCACAAGAAGTTCAACTTGTATCTCCGCTAATATGAAACAGAAGGACCTCAAAAGTTATAACCCCAAACCCTAAACCCTCAACCCGTCTAACCCCAAACCCTAAACCCTAAGGTGCTAGAGTCAAAACCGCACCTAGTTGCAGCTTGGGATGCGGATTGACAACACTCCCTCCTTGTTTACAACAATCTCATATAGTGCTTACATAATCACAATAACCCTAAACCCTGAAACCTATAATCGAATTGGGGTTACAAACTCTGAGCCCTGAACCCTTGAACCCTGACCCCTCAACCCCAAACCCCAAACCCCAAACCCTAACCCCAAATCCCGAACCCTACACCCTAAACCCGAAACCCTGAGCCCTAAACCCTCAACCCTAGAGTCCCATATTCCGTTTGGGGTTACCTACATGACGCGTTCATCTTTGGCCTGGGAGAGCGGCCAGCGCCGCTGCTGCCTGGACCGCCAGCAAGGCGGGCTTGAGGGCTAGGATTTAGGGTTTAGGGGTTTTGGGTTTTAGGGTTTAGGGGCTCAGGGGTCTGGGCTTAAGTTTAGGGTTTAAGCTTTTTAAGGTTTAGGGAGGGTTGTTTTTTAGGGGCGTGGAAAAGAAAACGGAAACTACTAAATGAGTGGAGACCATCTAAGGACATCGATAAGGATCCATTCCTTCATTTGGGCTTTGAGGTTGCGGTTTATTCTGTGACAGATATGTAATATAGTGTAAGGCACTGTAGGGTATATTATATGGGATTAGGATTCAGGATTTGTGTTTTCAGGATTTCTTTAAGAAAGGATATCCTTAGGGACCCTGGGAGGTTGCGTGATCATAATTGAGGGCACTATGGGGATCATAATTTTGGATTATTTGAGTTGTTGTTCAGAAAGCTCCTTCTGGTATGGGGTTTCAGGTTAAGCGTTCAAAGGTCCCAGGAAACTCTCGTAGACAAATTTGGAGCCGAGCCCAGCAGTCCTACCGTAGCACAGAAGCTCCAAGGGAATAAAACGATCATTTCTTGAAGGTTCAACATTACAGAAAAGGCTGACGTGGGCTTCGATGTGTGCTTGGAGGATGGTAGATGTAAATGTCATGCTTTTGTGATTATACCGTAGGGATTTCTTGTTTGTGCGTGTTGGCATTAAGTTGTGGGTATCGGTATAGGATGAAGACGGATGCGTAGATTAATATGACTGGAGGAGAGGGATTCAATTGGTGAATGTAGTATTGCAACTATCTACTCGTCAGTACTCCTAGAAGGACTTCAATCAAACATGTTACCTCATTGCAGTGGGGACCCTTTATATACTCCGATATCTTCGAATCTTTACTATAGGTGTCCCTTAAAGCGGTCCCTACAGGCCAAGACGACCTTTCAAAGGGGCCACCTAATCGTGAATTTGCGGGGGTTCTGAAGTCAATAGGGGGATGTGATAAGGAATCAAAAGGATTCACGGATCCCCTTCCGAGATTTTGACTGTTTGTATCCCTAAGCACTAGGCCTAGGCCCTAAGCCCTGCACTCTGCAATTCCAAAAGACCTCACCAACAGCCGCCAACCCTGGGGTTGTATAGGGAGGGTTTAGGGTTCATGCTTCCGGGTCTATAGGGTCTAGGGGTGTATAGGGTTCGAAATCGATAGCAAGACGTTTTTGGTAACTAAGTAAAGGTCAAAGTGGGGTTATATAAGGGTTTTATTGGGATACAGGCGAAATTGTCAGAAGTATGGCGCCCCTTTCCGGTACCCCGAACCCTAAACCCTAGGCCATTACGGCCTGCCGTGCTAGACTAGGCACCGTCCCTAAACGACTTGAAAACGTGTTCCGGTTTGGGTTAGGCTCTTGAGCTTTTGGCTATGGGGTTTAGGGTTTAGGGCGTCGGGTTTAGGGTTAGGGGCTACCTGAAACAGGAAAAACCTGAATTCTCTGAACCCACCTTTATGTAGGCTCGGGCACATCACTCCTAAGCAGTTTTGCCAACACTCCCTGGCAGTCACCTTGGCGGATAAACCTTGAAACCTAAACCCTTGTAGGACATTTGGGTAGCCCCCAACCAAACTTAGGGCCCCATTCTGGCCACAAGGGGCCCATACTGTTGAGAAAAAGGCAGTTCTCACCTTCCGTTTTGCGGCTGCGCCCGCGCACCGCACCCCCCCGAGCTTTGCTCAGGGGTTTGAGGAAGCGCAGGACTTCAGGGTCAAAGGGTTCATGGTTCACAGGGTTTAGGGTTTAGGTCCTACCAAGAAGGGTAGGGAACCCCTATTTCCTGAACCCTGACCCTGGTAAGTCCTAAAAGCTCTTCAGCCACTCCGGACGCTCCACCGCCAGCCACCCAGAAGGAGGAAGCAGATCGGGCTGGGGATTCCTGAGCTTAGCGTTTAGGGTTTAGGGTTTNNTAGGGTGTAGGGCTTTGGAGTTTAGAGCTCAGAGCTTGGAGCCCACAAAAGAATTTCGGGTTTACGGTAACGGCCGGCTCTCAACATACCCCGCCCAGAATCAAGGACGCCATAGCCCCACTTTGATCCACACACATCCCGAGGATCTGTAAATGAACTGCTATTTGTAGAGCCGGTCACATGTGAAAAGGCTGAAGAGCTTTGGTTAAATCAGCGATGGTAGGGGTCAGACAAGATTCGGGCACTTTGGGGTTTATAGTGTGGGGCTCAAAGCCCTGAGCCCAAACCCCCCAACACGTCCTCAGCCCCCCAAACCCTAAACCCCAAACTTCGGCCAGCGTGAAACCACAAAGTCCAGACACTAAAGCCAGTATGTCCAACCCAGTCGCAAGATTCGCAGACATGCTTCCTCGCCTCAGTTGCTTGGAGCTTTTGTGCTTTAAGCCCTATAAGCCCTTAAGCCCAAAACCCTAAGCCCTAAACCCTAACCCTAAGCCCTGAACCCTAAACCCTAAACCCTGAAACCTACTAAGCTCCAAACCGTTTCTTCAGCTGCAGAT